AAATAAGATTGGTTCACACGTCCAGATCTCAAGGACGCTTACCTATCGGTACCAATTGCACCATTTTGACAAAGATTACTACGGTTCTACTGAAGAAACTTCACCTGCCAGTTCACCTGCCTACCATTCAGCCTTGGTTCGGCCCCCTGGTGTTTCACAAAATGATTGAAACCCGTCATGGAGCGTCTAAGATCTCTGGGAGTGCGGTGACTATTTACTGATCTTCTGCAACTCGACCTCACAACTAGTATCTCAGACGAGATTTATCGTGGTCTTTTTATAAATCACTGGGATTCATGGTGAATTGGGAGAAGTCGTCTCTCAAACCGGCTCAAGTTGTTCAATTCCTGGGGTTCGAGATCGACTCCACAACATGCCTTCTATGTCCTTTGTCGAAGATTGCTTCCATCCAAAAGGAAATTCGGAAAATCCTGCGACTAGAGCTCATCTCACTTTGACTCCTATCCCGAGGAGTGAGTCTACTGTCCACTTCCATTCATGCAATATACCCAGGTCCCCTCCACTACAGAGCAATGCAATGACTAAAGGCTCACTTTTTGCAAGCAGATTATTTATACGATCAGCTGATACCAATCAACAGAGAGGTGCGCACGGAACTTCATTGGTGGCTCCTCCATATGCAAACCTGGAATGGGAAAGCCATTTTTGGTCCTTCACCAGATTTCGTGGTGGAATCAGACGCAAGTCTCTGGGGCTGGGAAGCACACTGCACAGTATATCAATTGCCTGGGCAGAGCTTGATCTCAGGCACTCGCAGAGGCAACCAAACACATTTACACCTTTTGCCTCTCCAGAAATATTACGTTAAGAGCGGAATACCTTCAAGGGACCTCCAACCTCACAGCAGATTGGTACTTCCACCACTGGAGGGACAACAGCGATTGGCAACTGAATGTAGCGATCTTTGAGACTTTGGCACTACACAGGGGTCCTCTTTGCTTCACGGACGAACTGCTAGCTTCCCAGATTCTTCAGCTAGATCCCGGACCTGGAATGCGAGGCAGTGGACGCATCTCTTTAGAAGTGGCCGAACCAAGAGGCCTACATGTACCCATCCTTCTCCATGTTGGCGAGGGTCCTGCACAAGATACGGACACACCAAACATAGCTCCTGCTGATCACTCCGCTCCGGCCGAGACAGGCTTGGTTCCTGAACCTATTGGAACTCTCATACGATGATTCGCTGATGCTACTGGACTTCCCGCTCCTCTTATTTAACCCGCAAGGGGAGACTCACCCACTTATTCTGCAAGACTGGCTCCATCTCGTGGCCTGAGTGATTTTCAGGGGATCTTGGGATGTCGATGGACTATCACAGACGACTAAGGACCTCCCATGGGATTCGTGGGCTTTGGGCACTAGATGATGCTACCTGGCAGCCTGGAACAAATGGTCTAGCTGGTGTATGGAGAGGGATTCAGATCCTTTTACAGCCCCTGTCTCCTTCATATTGAAATTCTTCGCTTCTATTTTTTCATCAGGTCGGCCTTTCCATTCGGTTAACGTAACGCTGCCGGCAATATCAGCAACCCATGTCCCTATCCAAGGATGCCCGGTTGGACAGGATCCGTTGGCTTGCCACCTCATAAGAGGTATGTGTTTGTCTTGTCCCCCTGGTCCGAAGTATTCACGTCTCTGGGACGTCATGCTGGTTTTGAACTTCCTTCAGAATTGGCCAGACAACAAATTGCTATCTTTGAGTCAACTGCCGGCAAAGCTCACATTACTACAATATCTGGTTTCCGTCCATAGGATATCAGATGTTAGGGCGTTCGACGTGGACGGTTTATCTTTTTCACCGGATGGTGTATCTTTTTTTCGGCTTTGCATCGTGTGAAAACGAATTGTTCTTCGTTTTTTTTTATCTGTTTTTTCCTTCTGCTCCCCTTCTTTGCATGGTCAAAACTCTCCTTCACTATGTGGAAGTTGCTGCTTCACTTTGTCGTTCCCCTTCAGGGCAATTACTCATATCTTATGTACAACCTGGTGGACCAGATTCAGCTACGACCCTCGCTAGGTGGGTCCGATGGCCGTTTTCCCTGGCGTGCATCGAATCGGTGTACAGAGCACACTCCATACACGGTGCAGTAGCTATGGAAGCTTTTTCATCAGGTGCTTCACTGGCGGACATCATGCGTTTTGCTGACTGGTCTTGCGAAGATACGTTTTGGATTTTCTATTTCTGTCCTGCTTCTCCTGCTTATTTTGTTCTTTTTTCATAGCGTTAAAAATGCAAATATGAAGCCTCCTGTCAGGTGGTAAAATTGTAGCTTATGCTAACGTATTGTACCTATCATCTTAATTTTAGTAATGACAGGAGGCAAATCTTCTTCCTCTTCCTCTACTGGTTTCTCTAATTTTCTGTTTGCTTACATGTCCTTCTGCTGCTTACGCTAAATTTCCTAGCTAGTTGATATCAATTATACAATTTCTGGTTCAGATATGAATACATTATTTTATACTCAATAATAGTATGATAAACTATGGCCATTTCGCTGCCTTTCACTTCTTTCTGTTCTTTTCAGTGTGAAAATTGGCATTATACATTGGATCTGCCCATCACATCCTTACTGTTCAAGGGGTTACATTGGATCCACATCGTTATTTGAGTTTTCATTGTTGGACTATTAATTCGCTTCAAATAAAGAGGAAAAGGCAAGCACCACAGAACTATATGTAGAAATGATTCTTGATTCTAATTGGTTTAATGTTTTGATTGATCCATGCTGCTGGAGTTTAATGCAAAGAAAGTTTATGCAAATATTTGCCTCCTGTCATTACTAAAATTAAGATTATAGTTACACTATGTTAGCATAATCTACAATTTCAAACAGTTCTTTGTTACAATATAACACTGAATACGATACAAAATCTTTCATATAATTCAGTAATACACTGTAACTATCGCAAGATCTCTCTGAAAGTAGAACTATTGGGCATTTGTTCCTTCCCACCTCCACATTCCTGATTTATAAATTCTCTTTTCTTTATATATGTACACACATACATAATCTTGGGGATTTAATATATTAGTCAGGGAGGGTAAGGTTAAATGCTACTTATGAAATGGGCTTTTGGGTCATCTGGAAGGAGGGCAGCTTGGAGAAGTAAACTGATATCAAGGTCCAAAAGCTAAAGCTCGTCCAAAACACCATGGACATTACAGATGGTCCTGGCTGTTGCTTAGGTTGAATAGGTTATACCAACAATCACACAGGTTAAAAAGACTACAAACGAACCACAATAAATTCATGGGTCCTACGCCAATCATATATATGTAACAAATTATTATTTTTGTAAGGGAGATACAGATACTGCATTAACCTTTGATTATTATCTTGGATAGCTATATGAGGAAATAAATGATGATTAAATGATTAAAAAAGAAAAATAATTCCCTTGAATTTCATTTCCATTGATAAATACAATTTTTTATGTGTGTATGGCCACCACACCGAGCAAGCTAGCACGCTCTCTTCCTGGCTGGTAATGTATGTGGTTGGCATGTTTTTTGTGCTGATACTAGAAGCAAAACTTGCAAAAAAAACAGCCACCTTGGACAAACTGGCTTTGGCTGGGAGTGTTACACACACAGTGCTGCTCACTAAAGTAAGAACTGCTCAGAATTCAAAGTAATGCCAAACTGAACTGAAAATAAAATTAACGTGGTATTTTTTTAAAAACAATTTTGGCCTACATTTTTAAACTCAATTTTGAATTCTCAGTAAATTTCTCTTTAGTGAATAGCTATGGCAGTGCCGATAGTGAATAACTCTTGGTGTCTGTCTCTTATGGTGTTTCTGCTCTGTCAAAGTACAGAAGTCAGAAAAACCATGCACAAGTTGCTCTGTTTGGAATTCATGTCCCATCAAACTGAATGCAACAAGTAATCTGCCCTTGTTGGCAACTCCTATCATGCTTAAATGAACACTGTAGGCACCCAGACCACTTCAGCTAATTGAAGTGGTCTGGGTCCAGTGTCCCTTTTGCACTTAGTGTTGTAATGTTAAACATTGCAGTTCCAGAAAAACTGCAATGTTTACATTGCTGCACTAAGTCCGCCACTAGTGGATGTCTACCAGACAGCCACTAGAGGGCTTCGTGGTTTGAAACAAACCTTTGGTCCGGTATCTGACGCTGGACGTTCTCATGTTCAGCGTCAGATTTTTCCTCATAGGAAGGCATGGATTCAATGCTTTCCTATGGGCAGGTCTAATGCGCACACGACATTTGCTGTGCATGCGCATTAGAGTCCGCTATTCGCGGGACGGAGGAGAAGGAGAAGCTTCAACTCAGTGCAAGTGTCATTGGGGCTGGAATGAGGTAAGTAAATAAAGGGTAAATAAAGGAATACAGCTTTGTATTCTTGGTACTATAGTATCCCTTTAATGAGATTCTGGCTCCTGAGAGTGCAATATACAAATTATATAATGGGATTCTGAGGCAACCACTTATTAACAGTTCATGTGGAATATAAATCCAATCAACCTGGTTCAATGGTTGGTTAAGCAACAACATTATATCCTGTCTTTAATCCCCATTTTCTAAAACGTAATCTTTCAAAAACTGAGCTACTTTTGTTTTACCTTTTCTTCTCTTACAGAGTCTGTCTCAAAATCCTTTAACTTCAGCATTAAAAAAAACAAAAAACACTTTTAGCAGCATATATAAATACAGGCATCTTATCGATTAATCCCTCATCCCCTCTGATATGCTTTCCTTCCTCCTAGAATGTAAACTAATTTCCACAGGGCCTTCTTCACCTCTTCTCCTTGCTGTTATATTCTTTATGTCAGTTACTTGTCAATTAGCCCTATTTATAATTGCAAATCGCTGCAGAATATTTTGGCTGTCTATAAATGCTAATAATGATAATAATATATCAAGCCACCATTTTAATGGATACAGATCCATTAAACATACTTAAAAATGACAGTTCTAATACAGTTCAAATGTATGTTTATTTATTTTATTCGTCTCTATGAAAAGCTTTGGATATGATTTGAGAATCAATTGACTGGACAATACCCAGCTCTAAAGGGAAGTACGTGCTGGCCAAAAAACAATGAGTGGACCTTCATCAGTTGTTGACACCATAATGAAAGATATGTTTTTAGGGCTTGTGAAATACAAATGTATACAAAAGTACATGTATTTTGTTTACAAAGCTATGGAGTGGTTAAGGGGTTCAGCGGCATTATTGCAGCCCATCGCGACACATAGTCAGAGGAGGGCCTTGACAGTTTTTTAAATTTCACATTCATGGGCGGCGGGTCACAAGGATGGCAGTGCCAGAGGAGATCGTTGTCACAGCCTTGGTGGCAACATGCTTCTGGGGGTGGTCTTTGACCACACAATATGGGCATGGTGAAAGCATAACGGAGGTTTGGAGCCAGAAGAGGGGCACTTAGCCTAAGTTGGGGCTGGGCAGACAGATCTGTCCAAGTAATTGGATTGGTCCAAACATGGGGATCCCTGGGAGCAAGCTCGTTTTGGAAATAAATTATGTTAATGGTTAATTATGTTGAGTACGGTCTGTATGTTATTTATGGTTATGTTAACCATGTTTTAAAATACATTGTCATTGTCTAATATTTTTATATGGTTTTAACGTGATATTTAATGTTAATTGGATGAAATTACTATTTAATAAATAAAATGGCTGTGGCCTTTTCTACCCACTACGTCTGTGCCTTGTGGTTTACTTTTTGGTAGGCACAGCTTGATAGTTGAGGCTACAACTGTCAAGATACCTCTGGTTCTATACAATGTTTTTGTGTATCCTGCATTGGAGAGTATTTGACCTCTAAACAATGCTTGGACTGTAGCAGGAAGAAGAAATTCAATTCTGACTATTTGTCACTGCACAAAGGACACCTATGTTTGGAGGAAACATCTAATTTTTTACATAACAAAAAGCAACCCTGCTAGTTTGTCCAAGTAAATATTATAGTTACCGTATATGAGGGCGTACTTAAAGTAGCATTTAAACAGTTTACCCTATATGTGTTATATCTGTCAGATTGTAAAATAGAAGAAATCTGATTTGAATTAAATAGTGTAGTTAAATGGATCTTTAGCAATTAATTAACATTAATTAACAGTTCAGGCTTTGAAGCAAAAGATTGTCCCATGTTGTTACATGAGGAATTGATTCCAGCATAGTTATTATTCCTTATATAATCATTCCATCCATCACTCGGTGCAAAGGAGTGTTTAGATGTCAACCCCTCACTGTATGCTATTCTTACAGGCCTGTCTATGCATTATAACAAAACTGACTTACCGATCAAGCTGCAAGGTTGTTTGAGGGTCACAGTACATCATTTAAGAATAGAATGACATCTGGCAAACTCTCTAAAATAAGATGTTTGTGCTTTCTGTTATTGTTAGTATGTTACAATAAATTAACACTATAAAGCTGTATTCCTATAGTGCCTCTCTCTATAGTAGTTATATATAGGTTCCGTCCCCTGTGTACAATCAAAATTAATAAAATAAAAGTTTTGCTCACCTCTTCACCTCCTGTGACGTGCACAAGGTTTCATGGCTGACTTATCATAAAGAATCATTGTGGACCTGATGTGCTTGCGCGCTAAGTGCTGCATCCGCATCTAAGCTTCCTCAAATGAAACCATTGTATCCAATGTTTTTCTATGGGCCTCCGTGTCTTGTGTCACTTGTTTTACTCAGTGACCTGTGATTCTAAAACTGTACCATAACCACTTGCTAACCGTACCATAACTACTGATTGTAAAGTCGATGTTACTGGAGTGTGTTATAATTGGGTAATTGAAAGTTGATTTACTGAGTGGATGATTGCAGGGTTTGAACTATAGTTACAGAGATAAGTATCTAGTGTTTGGTGAATCTTTGTGTGTGAAGACGTCGTGTTATCACTGTGTGTGTATGAGAATTCTCCACGTGTTTTTGTGTGTGTTTGGCCTAGTAACTGTGCCACGTAGTGCTGTTGCCAGGGAAACGGGTGTGACTGTTGGGAGTGTGTTTGTTGTGTTTCTTTGAATTCGACGCTCCGTTGCTAAGTATGGGTGCCTCTGATTCAAAGATGGTTGATCCCTTGTCATGTATGCTAAACAATTTCGCAAAGGGATACAATGTTTGTGATTTTGGGGTAAAATTATCCCCAAAGCGTCTGACTACATTGTGTAGCAGAGAATGACCTATTTTGGTGACCAGCGTGTACACGTGGCTGTATCTAGTAGGCCTGAATTTTAAGATCAGTTTCCGTACATTGATTGTTGGAAACATGTTGCGGAAGGATTGCCCAAATGGATTAAAGTATGCCACGAGGAGCAATGTCGCCTCATGGTGGCCAGGACTCGCCTGTCCATCAGGGCCGCAACTGAGTCTGAACTTCCTCTACCACCCCCTTACTCCTCCTCCAAGGCTAGAGGAGTTGTTGCCAGTGTTGCCACTCCCCCTACCCTAGTGTATCCTCCCACTCATTCATCCAGCTCAGAGCCCAGCCCACTTGCCTTAAGCCCTCCCCTTCCAGTATCTACCTCCATTAGTCCTGCATATCCGGATCTGACGTCATTTCTGGTTCCTGGTCAGGCTCCTCCCAGCCCGGCCCGGAATATCCTGTTAACTGACCTTTTGTTTAGTAAAAATCAGTTGTCCCCATCTCCTTGTCTCACTACCCTTAGACAATACTAAACAACCTCACCGAAGCCCTGTATTAACCCGACAGATGACTGGTACCCTCCAACCACGACATTACCAAATGCCTCTCCGACTTACACTGGGCCCAACACACGTTGGCGATAATGGTCAATTGCAACAGGCAGACCCTGTATTTGTCTATGTTCCCTTCACTACGACTGACTTATTTAATTGGAAGACACATAACTCTTCTTATCCCGATAAGCTTTAAGCCATGACAGATTTGGTTGCCTCTATCATACAAACCCACAATCCTACTTGGGCTTATTGCCAGCAATTACTATTGACTTTATTTAACAATGAGGAAAGGACTCGGATTAATCAAGCGGCTATTAAAGCGCTTGAGGAAGCGGCCTGTGTCCAGAACCAGTCCTATCTGGCTGCATGGGCTGCAGCCCATTACCAGAATGTGGATCCGAACTGGAATATTAATGGCGCTGATATGCCCCATTTAAGAGCTTATAGGGAAGCCATTATTGCTGGCATGAAGGCAGGAGGGAAAAAGGCAATCAATATGTCAAAGACGGCTGAGGTGTTGCAGAAAGCTGACAAGTCACCTAGTGCCTTTTATGAAAGATTACTGGAGGCATACAGATTGTATACTCCTTTTAATCCAGAGGCTCCTGAGAATTCCAGAATGGTTAACTCAGCCTTTGTCAGCCAGGCACAAGGTGATAGTAAAGGAAATTACAGAAGGTAGAGGGATTTGTAGGGATGTCTATATCACAGTTGATGGAGATTGTGAATAAAGTATACATGAATAGAGAAACCGAGACAAAGAGGGAAGAAGGACGTAAAATGAGGAAGAAGGCAGATATGCTAGCAGTAGCTATTACAAGTGTAGAGAGACAGGGAAGGGAGGTGAATAGAGGAGTTGAAAATAGGTTGAGTAGGGGACCACTAAGCAGGAATCAGTGTGCATACTGTAGAGAGGAAGGACATTGGAGGAATGAATGCCTGCAGAGAGAGCATTATGAAAATGACCAACAAGAAGGAAGAAGAATGCGTGGAGGTTATGGTGGTAACTATAGAGGAAGAGGAAGTTTTGGAGGAAATAGTGGGAATAATAGAGAAGTGTTCAAGGGTACAGATATTATCCACCCACGCAGAGACCTAGAGAAAGAGAGGATAGAGATTTTGTGGGTCTGGCTGACATTGTTATGGAGGTCTATTGATACCGACCGGGCTCCATCCCCCTTGGCCGAGCGGAGCCTATGGCCGATGTAGCAATAGGGGGAAAGAGAAGTGATCATGATTGATACTGGGGCTGAACATTCCGTGGTGACCAAATTAGTTGCTCTTCCTTCAGGAAAAACCATAACAGTAATAGGAGCAACTGGGAAGAGCGCTGCTAGACCAGTTCTTAAGAGTCGCACTTGCATTCTGGGAGGCTAATTGGTGAAGCACCAATTCCTATATATGCCTGAGTGTCCAATCCAACTTCTAGGACGAGATTTATTATCAAAGCTTCAAGCCCAGATAACCTTTTTACCCAATGGATCGACATCCCTGAAGTTTAATGGATCATCGGGCATAATGGCGATATCGGTGCCAAGGGAAGAAGAATGGCGCTTCTACACGATAATGACCAGTGTAAACCCTAAGAGTGATGAATCCCTATTTGACATTCCAGGAGTATGGGCAGAAAATAATCCACCAGGGCTTGCCCGTAATATTCCACTTATACATATTGCGTTGAAGCTTGGGGCCTATCCCGTGAGTCTACGACAGTACCATATACCCCAAAAGGCAAAGAGAAACATACAGACCTACTTGGATAAGTTCGTAAGGTATGGTATCCTAAAATTCTGTACTTCCCCCTGGAATACTCCATTGTTACCTGTTAAGAAGCCAGGATCAGATGAGTATCGTCCTGTACAAGATTTAAAAGCAGTTAATGGTGCGGTGGTTAATATACACCCAGTTGTACCCAACCCTTATAATCTGCTTGCCTTGATACCAGGTGGGGCAACTTACGTTACAGTCTTAGACCTCAAGGATGCTTTCTTTTGTCTTCAAATTGCTGCTGAGAGTCAGTGTATCTTTGCCTTCCAATGGAAAGATGCTGTTACGGGTTCAAAGCGTCAGATGACTTGGACTAGACTACCTCAAGGATTCAAGAATTTACCCACCCTATTTGGATCCGCACTAAGCCAGGACCTGCAAGATTTCAAGTCCATCCCAGGAGACTGTGTATTACTTCAGTATGTGGATGATTTGTTGATAGCGGCAATTACTAAAGAGATATGCAAACAAGCAACTTATGATCTACTTCAAATTCTCTGGAAGCAGGATACAAAGTATCTAGGAAGAAAGTGCAATTGTCATCTGTCAAGTATTTAGGATTCCATATCTCTGAAGGTCAAAGGATAATGGGACCCGAAAGGAAAGAAGCGGTATGTCAGATACCGATACCTAAGAATAGAAGAGAGGTGCGAGAATTCTTAGGAGCAGCAGGATTCTGCAGTATATGGATTCCTAATTACACGATATTGGCGAAACCCTTATATGGAGCTATAAAAGGCACAGAACATGACCCCTTCCTATGGACCACTGAACAGCAGAAGGCATTTGAGGATATCAAGAAAGCACTAATGAGTGCCCCAGCCCTAGTTTTACCTGATCATACACGTCCATTCTATCTGTATGTACACGAGCAAAGAAGAATGGCTGTGGGAGTACTAACTCAGTATT